ATATATAAATAATATATATATACAGACGAATGGTTCTTGTTCAATCTTTAAAAACTATACATATACTAGCCGATATATTTCGAGACAAGTATTTTATACTTTATACTTATTAAAACCTACATTTAAATGTTACGGACGCATGAAAATTCTTTGCAACACATACGATTTTTATGCATGCGCAGTTGAAATATTTACTCCGTAAGTTATGTCTCCTTATTAAAGTTAAAAAAATTGTTAATTCTAACTATTACTTTCAGAAAGCTTATCAAGCAGTCTTATAAAATGACTATCAACTTGAGATTTAAAACCAATTTTTATTAACGATGTTTCTTTTTTAATTGACAGAACACGATTATTTAACTCATTTATTTACATATTGGTAGCAAAATTATTTATCAAGTAATATATATAGTTTATAATAAGTATAAACTGTAATTATTTGCTTCAAATAATTTTTCTCTAAAGTTAACTGACGATAATTATTATAAAATTTTAAAGAGGTAAAGTGAACCGATATATATTTAAAGTCACTATGAATAAGAAATTCAACTAAATGTATTTATAATTTATGTGGTAAAATTGGCTCTGGATGAATTTAATTAAATCATATTTGCTTTCAAATAAAATACCTTATTATTTTACAGTTAATGAATGATCTATGAGTTTATACGAATAGAAATATATGTATACAAAAATTACTGTATTCAAATGGCTTGATTGAGATGTATTCAGCATAGAATTTTGATCACAGTTCTGCGACATGCTTTGACCTAAAGCTGTTTTTAAGTAGAATTTGAAGCTGTGGAAAAAATATAAGGAATATGATATAAAAATCGTAATGAAATCGATAAAACCATTAAAAGAGTTGCATCAGTCATAAAATGGAAATTTAAGTGTTTTTGAGGTTTTCCTATGGTTTAGTTTCTAAATACTTTGAAACATATATTATTACAATTGTCCAGTAAAAGAATTTACCATATAAAAAATTGTTTTGTTTTTTTTATATAATTTTAGATGTTAACAGGGGTCTGTCTAGGTTTTTCTGAAAGGTACCTATTTTGTGAAAATTTAGACATAATTTGTGAAAAATTAAAAATTATATTTAAAAATCCAACACAAAAATATGGCAAGAATATGGATTTATCATTTCTTAAAGAATACAAAAGTAAAATTTTAAGAAAAAGTCTACCGTTTTTCCTAAAATTAAATTTGTGAAGGTACCGCTAAACGGTAGTAAATTTGGTCTGGACAGACCCCTGGCTAATATCGTTTAATTTGGTGCAAAAACATTTACCTCGAAGATGAGAAAAACAAAACAGTATAGACACGTTGGGAAAAATAAGTTTGACCTGAGTGCTATTAAGTATATAATGCTCATAAAAAGTTTTTAGTCTTTTATAGTAGATTTAAAAAAATAATTTCTGCTATATTTATTATCTAATGATTATAATCGAACTGTATCATATCAAAATTCAAAGGAAAAGAAAATAGAGAGAGAGAAAATAAGTTTTGGTGAAAAATATCTTATTTGTATTCATTCAATATATCACTATATAATTGTTTTTTTTTTATTATATCCCTATATATTCATTAAAAATAAATACATTTATTATATTACTATATAAATTAATACGTCTTATATTTAATTTTATATATCTATAGACAGTGGCTTACAAAAATGCCAAATTTCGAGGAGCTGTGGGCTAATTTTTAGGAACCTGTGGGTTATAGAATGAAAAGTAGAGTAACAGTTTTTTTATTTTTCAGTTTCTATTTTACAAATTTAGTTAAACTTAAGGCGCCGTGGCTACCAAGCATCTAGAACTTGTGTATTCTTGCTTATAGGTATATATTTTCATAAGTTTGCATGTTTATATGTTTTAACAAAAAATAATTTTACCAAATGAAAGTTTGATGTTATTTAATAATAAAGCAGAGTAAAAAATCTAAAATCTTTAAAGCATTCTTCTGGTGGGTCAAAATCCCTCCTTTTTCTAGGACTCAGAATATTTTATACAAATATTTTTGGAACATACAGTTTTTCAAAGAAATTCAATTTGTTATTGTTATAACAAGACAATACAATATAATGTTATAACAAAACAAATTTAAATGAAATCTACACGCTCTTAGACGAAACGAATTGTGAATGATTCAAACAAATGCTATTAAAAAATTATATTTCCTTATGTTCTTTTTAAATCTAATCAATCACGTTGTTTTTTATTTTCCAGAAACTTGATTGTTAAAATAACTTTAAATTACACTTCATATTCGAATTAATAGTAAAATTTGATTTAGAAATTTCAGCTCTAAAATTATTGGCCATTGATAAGTTTTTAATAAATGATCGAAATTTTTTTGGAGCAGATTCTGAATTTAAATTTCAAAAATCAAATAAAATTAAGAGAAAATTCAGAAAAATCTTAAATTTTATTATTATATTGATCTGCATTTTATTTATTTATTTATTTTTTCTTTTTAAAAATATTCATAAAACTGCATTTTATTTTTAGCATACAGAGTCTTTTTAGAACTATTGGGAATAATAAATGAAACACAATATTTGTACAATTCTGGTCAATACGAAATTAATAGTAAACGTTCGATATAGTGCAAGATACTTGAAAAATTCGCGATAAACTGATTGCAAACCTGAAAATATATTTTGCAAAGAAAACAATTATGCCTGGAGTACTACAGTTTCAAATTAAAATAAATTTCGGACTATTTTGGTGAATGCATTTGCTTTCGATAATTGTAGTATGATAGTAATATTTAATTATTAGAAAAAATACCAATGAATATTTAATTTGTAAACTTCAGAAAATTAATAACGCGAATTATAATTACCCATGAGCATCTGTATCAATTTTGCCAACTTGTATCTTCATCGTTTCTCCAACAAAGCCAAATTTTTCATTTTGGCATGGTCCAAAGCCTACAGGCTCATAATCAGGAGGTGTAACTATTAAATAATAGAAATTTTAATCCCAAAGATGCTATTTTTTAAAGAAAGTTGTGCCACTGAAATAATTTCAGTCACTACATTAAGTTTTTAGGCCGTATTTGCCAGGTTTCTAAAATAGAGATTTGTGCTTTCTTTCGTAGAAAAATATTTGCAATAGTCTATTGTTAAGAGGCGCTATCTCTCCTATTATCACAATGATTACAATATTTGTTTTGAAATTCCCTAATATAATGTGGTTTGTTTTTTTATTTTTTTTAAAAGCTTGAGTAATCAATGAAATTTTGCTTATTATTATTTCTTCATTCTCAAACTTTTATTGTAAAACAAGCTGTACAACAATTGTAAAGATTTATTTTCAATAAATTATAATAATTTAAAAATACTTTAGTACAATTCAACAAAATTACATTTGAGTCATACGTCTACATATTCAGACGTAGCAAATATTTTCTTAAAAAAATGCATTATAGTGCTTTTAGCAGTGTAATGATGCCTAAAAATTGTTAAGATCACAAATAAGTTATCGGTCTTAATGATTATTTATCATATTTTTTTAAACTGATATCTGCGTATAATGTTTCTAGTATAAGATAAAACATTACTCATAATTTTCAACGCTATAATAAATGTGTTAAATATTTTAGTTTCTTCCGCATTAAGAAATGCATTTCATAAAATTGTATTGCTTCAAAAATAAATATTTTTACTTCATATGCAGCATTTTAATTTTTCAAAATAAAAGTTAGTCACCACTCTAGAATTTTATGCATGAAAAATTAATTTAAATAATTTTTCGACACAATGGAGTGAAAAATATGGTAAAAAAAAGCTTTGCCTCACCATCATCATAATAAAGTAGTTTCACTGTTAAATAGGCGTCCTTTGGTAGAGGTTCTAACATGTCACTTAATGAGACGGCATTTTTCAGCATTAGCAATGTAGCTTGCTTTACAGGATCAATGGTTTTTGATGACATCTGATTTTTTCCATTACTATAAAGAAATCATGTTGATTCATTCATATATATTTTATTACTATCAGCATTTTATTTCATTTTAATTTATTTCATAAATTTATATTACTAATAGCATGGCATAAAACGGTATAAATTATTCTAAGTTTAAGAACAAATTATAAAAAGTCATAGAATATTGTTACTTCCGCATCACTTTATTAATAATATCTAGACAAACTTATAATTTTATCTGTATCTGAAAGTAATTCAAATTTAAATTTTAAAGTAATTAAAACTAAAAAGTGCACTTTAACCAATTAATTAAAAATTTGCAAAAGGAAATCACAGGAACACTAAAAATTATAAATTTTAAGAACCATGTACCTTGTTAAAGTTAGTAACACCTGGAATTTTTCCATTAACTGGAAACTAATTAAGCAACTTCGAACTATGCTATTAAATTTTAATTATTAGCAGTTAAATGTATTCTTTTACATAAATATTAGTAGATTAAAACACTAAATATACGCTTATATACTGTCGTTTGTAATACAAGTAAACAAAAAAGTATACATCAACCTTAACTAATTTTAGAAAAAAAAAATCATATCACAATAATAAAAAAAAAGTAAAAAAATTATTTCAAGAATTTGTCAGCCTTATAAAATCTAACGATATCTGTCTTTTTTGTTTACTGGAATATAATTCAGAAACTTAGAACTATATCATTAGATCACCATTGTTATAAGTTAAAATTATTATTTTTTATAAGCATTCATCTAAAAGTTTTATTTTTAAAAATTGAAATACATTTTTCACTTTTATGGCATTTAATTTCTTTTTTATTTGCTGATTCTTGTAGAATAACTTACAATTTATGATCTTAATATGTGAAAAAGAATAATACTTTAGATTATTAAAGTCATAAAGTAAACTTCATACCAAGTGACAGAGTTTTCATCATCCTTGTAACGAAATACTAAAGTGTAAAGCTCTAAAATTTCCTAAAATACAAATATTTAAGTAATAATCTTTATAAAAAAGAAAGATAGTTATAAATTAAATTTTAAAATATTTACCTCTCTATTTTGCGGATCTGGAACAATCTAAGTAAGAAATATAGATGTAAATAATATTGATTTATATAATCCAATAACGTACACAATTAAAAAAAAAGTTTTTACTTACCCCAATGCATAACTGTTGCAACTGTGAATAGGAAAGATAGTTTACAAACATTAATGAATCTTTTTATTAAGGATCATATAATATTATTAGAATTAAGTAAGTTTAAGTACTTAATCAAATGTAGTTTCCTCAAAGCCTTTTATCATTGAACATTGACTAATTATCATGAATTTTTTTTGAAAATACTTATAAAAAGGTTACATCTAATTGCAAACTCTTTAAAATAATCAACTATTGATAGCATTTCACAACAGAACATCGTGAAAATATGCCCATAAATATTTAAATCCATAAATCATAATATAAAAAACTGTCCTTAGAAAAATGCCAGGAGGCAGGAATAAATCAATTAAAACTTGAAACTGGCAAATCAATGCGATTATCAGAAAAATGTATTTTTAAAATGTTTTAATTCTAGAAAGACTAGGAGACAGGTAGTTTTGTATATACCAGTAGGTACCTCAGTTTCTTTAGGGAAGAAGAAAAAAAAGGAAGAAAAAAAACAAGATTATTTCCATATAACTAACTGCATTGAACTGCGATGGTTCGGATAGAGCGTTCGTCTTCCAATGAGGTGAACTGGATTCGAATCCCACCAAGGGCTGCTCGATACGAATTTCGCATCAGGCTTGCACCGATCACAGTGCTGACGTGAAATATCCTCAGTGGTAGACGAATCATGGGTTAGAGTCCCCTTACCGTCAGGCTACTCGTGGGAGGGTCTCATGGTCTTCCTCGTCTTTTAACTCAAAGGCGGGTTAGTTCCATCAAAAAGTCCTCCACGAAGGCAAATATTCCCAAAATACTTGATCCAGGAGTTCCCTTGTCTTCTAGATTGGGCTCAAAATTACAAGGCTACCTAGTTGAATAGTAATAGTTTTAAACCTAAAAATTGGGTCGGCTTTTCAACGACGGTTATAAAATATATTTGCGTTTATTACTTGTAAGGAAAAGGAAACTATTGTCTAACGAAATAATGTATAATTATTATAGAAAATTTATTGTTCCCTTTAATCAAACTTTTTCGCTAACAAAACAAAATACCATAGAATTTCGATGATCGAATCTCTATTATATTTATTGATTAGGTTTGTAATTTTAATTGTAATTGCAAAATTGTAATTTACCTCATTAATTGAAAGCAACTTCAAAGTTAAAAAAGAGAATTCAGGATAAGCATGTAACAATATACTTACGTATTTTTTCTCAACCGCATCATAACAATTTCGTACTAAATTGATGAATTTTTGCACAGATTTCAATCCGCAATCTTCATTTAATATTTTAAGCTTAACTCCTAAATATACAAATTTTGAATGTTAACAATTCAACTAACTTTACTTTAATGAGTTATAATACATAAAAAGTATATTTTGTTTTAATTGATATCAGAGTCAGAGCCATTTTGCAAAGATAACCAAGCTACTATGTTAAAAGATAGTAGCTTTGCTGACAAGTGTATTCCACACCAGAATGCGCGAACTAATATAGCATCAAAACAAATTGAAAAAATAAAAAACGGTACAAAGCTACAATAATTAATTCATCTATACAATAAATTTAGGATAAAAAAATATGTTTTTATAATTGTAACAACAGAAATTCCACTTAAGAAGTTAGGAATCTATTAAGACTAAGAGGCTACTGTAATTATATTTTTAGTTAGGTGCCAGAGAGATAAATGCTTAATTTTTTTCTATTTAAGTAAAATATTAATTACGATTATTTACATTTATTACTGATTTCAAAGGGAATTCTCACAGTTAAAATATAATTCTTAATCTTTCTGAACTTTTTATTCAGTCCTTGTGAATTAGCATTTAGAATCATAAATCAATGTTAAATTAAAAAAAACATTCACAATCACTACAGAATTACATTATACAAGTTATTCTAGTAAATAACTATCTGGAAACAATACCAAGGGACAATTTGAAGTTAAAACCTTTGAAAAAATTGCAGATTATCGCTATATTGTTCTAATCCTTTTTTACATAAATAGAAAAATTAATGTGAAAAGTATTTGAAATTAATAATAGCTTTTACTGTTAGTTGGAGTGAGTAGAAAGAATTCTTTATTATATTTATTTTGAAAGCATTTTAATTTCCAAAAACATATTACTTCATAGCCACACCAAAGTTAACAAAATTTGAAAATTCTATGTTAGATGAAAGCAGATCAAATAGAAACAATATGTTTTGAGGAATGGTTTGAAGTCTAAAAAGGGGGAAATTTATTCTTCTAAAAAAAGGGGTGCGGAGAAGATGATTAATTTTTAAAAGTCATTTTTTTAAATATTATCTCATCCTAATACACAGTAGAATACCAGCTGTTAATTTAAAAATCAAAGCTTACCACTCAAATCTTTATTGCCATAAGCTTTTTCAGGAAAAATTCCTCTGACATAAGTTATTGAAGACAAAGAAACTGCAATTAGTTTTTTGATAAACAGGCAAGAACCTTCTATTGTAGTAAAGTCAGGAAAAACCTGCTTCCACTAAAATAATTATAACGAAAAATATATGAAATATAATAATTTCTAAAAAATTATCATTTGCATGGATATATACACAGTATTAGAAAGAAAGAAATAACGTATTTAAGTTACTGAGGGCAAACAAATTGCCTCGTCTTAAACTCACTTCATAGGTTATAGCGATAATGTTAATTAATACTTCACTAAACTGATGAGCATGTCTGTTGCGTAACTACTTAATTGCTAGAAACATTTCACGTTTTCAAGATATTCAAATCGGACTTTTTTTATTAGTTTTCAATTACGATTCACTACAAAATTATTAAAATGATAGAACTACTTTAAATGCTCATATGTTACACAATTTTAAACGATTTTTTTTCTTATAGATATTTTTAAAGATATAACAGAAAAAGTGAAAAAAAAATAGTTTATTAAAAATACCCATATTTTCCTAAATATTTAAGATAAGCTTATGAAATTTCATGCAATCATTTCAAATAACACAACCAAAAGTAATTTAGGCATGTTACAAGCTTATTGCGATATTTTCTGGAACAGGGTGCTCAAATACACTTGTTTTCGTTCGTAATTTTTTGCTGATCCCTTAAAGCCCTGAAAGTTTTTAAATTCATTGTTAAGTATGGAAAATAGCATAGCTTAATCACCTCTCAAGTTATAAAATAATCTTTTATGTAATTCTAAGGAAATTTAAGAAAATGTCAAAAACTGAAAGTGTCTCTTCCATTTTTGTAAGACAGTGATTATAGTATTCAATATATCACAAGTCTATGTAGTAATGTTAAGATGTTAGGTGCGTAAATAGGTATAAGTACAGAACTTTATTATCAACTTGGGTTTGATCTCATTCCATTCAGCATAAAAAAAATTGCGTAGAAACAATACCTGACTTGTCTAGATAGCTATTAAAAGTTTTTACCTCCTTTTTATCCCTTGTCATTCGCGAGATCTAGATATCGATCGTTTTTCTTTTCTACAAGGTACAATAAAGGGATTTAGACCACTCAAAACAGGTAATCCTAAATTTGAGGACGGTTTCAAGAACAGTGATGGAAAACTGAACGCAGCACAATATCTGTAGTAGATATTCAATATAATTAAAAAAAATTTCTCGACTAAAATTACCTTTCTCAGCTTTTAAATATTTCCATATTTTTTTTTAAAAAATTATCCTTTTTAAAAAATATATATATATATGAAAAATAATATTGATATGATATTAGAAATATGTTATGGGGTTATTTTATTTTTAAAGCGTTAGTGAAGCAGGCTTAAGTTTTTAAGTTAGCTTGCGTCAAAATTAAGAGATTTTTATTTGTTTATTTCGTTATTTATATTTTGCTGAGTTCAGCAAGTTTAGTAAAAACTAATAGTAGGATTATAATTTTTTGCAGCAACGTAATTTTATGGTAATATAGCGTCATATCATAACATTTTGTTGACCGGAAATTTTATACAGAAACTATGTCAGAGTAGTTAACTTACCACCGGTCAACAATGTGTTAACGTAATAATATGATGACCACTGCCTTTCATTTTGTTTAAATTTCGAAACAGTTTTGGAGTCATTAAGCAGTTTACCTTGAAGGCCTTTAGAATTTTATCATATAACTAAAAACTAACCACATTAAAATCATAATTGTATGCACCCCTTTACTCTCACAATTTGTTTAAGTTTCTAATTAGTTTTATAGTATATAAATAGTAAAGGCTACTCTTTTTGTGAACGATTATCAATCCACTTCAAGGTCGGATATCTTGCCGTTTTGTCAATGCGGCAAGATATCCGGCAAGATATGAACGAGCAAATCGAACTCTATGGTGAAGCGACCTGAAAAGAACATCACTAACTATTTCCTAGGATTGGCGAGTGAGAACGAGCCTCTAACATAATTATATTAAAGTATAAAAGATATCAAAGTTGAGTTAATAAACAAAACTACGATGAAAAGAGCGAGTTCGATGCAATACTGAAATGAACTGAGTCGGCAGTTTGTGAGGAGGGGATTGACGATCCATTACAAGCATGGGTGGAGCCGAATGTTCATAATATGAAAAAATTTATTTTGCATTAAATAAAAATTTATAAATAAAAATTTATAAATAAAATAATTAAATCAATAAAAAAGATTAAAAAAATAAATTAAAAAAAAGTAAATAATAATAAATAAAAAATTAAATAAATTACAATTAATAAAAATCTATTTGTTTTTAACAGGAAACAAAATTTTAACTCAAAATGTTTTCGATCATTATGAATTAAATAATGAGATGCCATTTAAGTTTGGGGCGGCATAGTCAATTCCGTCTCTAAATCATTAAATTAAACATTTAATCCAATGCCCTCAGCCCCCGCTTAATTATACCAATTTATTAAAATGTTGCAAATAAATAGAGCAATTTATAAATCGAATTATTTTTTAAAAAAAAAACAGATTTTGAAGAATTGATTTTTTAAAGAGTAATTGCCTTTTTAAAAATAAATAAAACAAAAATATTTTTTGTAATTATGCATTAAGTTTTCAAAAATTGTAGAGAATGAATTATATATGTTAGGATTTACACCATTGAGAAAAGATCAACTGAAATCACTACTAAATTAAATAGTGGAATTTTTAAAAACATTTATTCGAAATTGTTATTTTATTTTTAAATAACAATTCCTTACTGATATGCCTCAATTAAATATTTCAACGTATCAGTTTCTTTAATGATTATATTGGTATAGAAGTTTATCACTTATATTTTAAAATATCAAATTGTTTGACAAATTTTCGCTTGATACGTAATTTAAAAGATCGAAAAAAAGTTTTTGCTTTCTAAGGGGTACATACAAGCTCTGTTGTATATACAAATGTATAAGGTCTGTAACAATTGAAGTAGCTTAAAAACTAATATTACTATGGAAATAAATTCTAAGAAAAAAAATTGAATTTCTTCATTTCACTACAAAAAAGTTTTAAAACTTCTGAATTAGAACAAAATTCAAATTAAATTTCCCCCCTTTTTTTTAAGGAAATAAGCACTTCGAAACTTAATAATGCTTTAAAGTAGTGAAACAAATAAGAAAAAATTTTTGCAGTAATTTTTAACGTATGAAAATATTTTGCTTACATCCTGTGTAGTTTTCTCGGCCATCATCATTCTAGCCATCTTCTAAAAATTTTCAACTGAAATAAATAAATAAATAAAAACAATAAAGCTTGCATAAATTTATATTAAAATTAATTGATTATCTTTTAATAAAAATTAAAAAAGAGTTAAAAAAAAAGAACAAAATAAAATCGAATCTGATTTGTTTAATTGAAAATTTTATTTTAAATTTGAGATTAAAAATACAATTTAGATAGGAATGAAAACATTTTTCCTCATTACTGCGAGCATTAGAAAACAAAATATTTGTTCAATAAATACATACATTGAAAACACCTAAGGAATCAAAGTAACAAATTTAGCTTTTGATGAAATCTGTAGAATTTATAACAAATTTTTGTTCTATAATTTCTAAAAACCGGCTAGTTGCGAAAATCGTTTGCATTTAAGTAAGTTGCCATGGGAGATTAAATTGTTAAAGATATCAAATAAAAAATTATTTTCGATAAATAGGTACTGACATTTGATGCAAAAATCAGATTTTGAAAAAATAATATGTATACGGAATTTTTTAAAGCGTTTAGTGTCGCCCTCTAGTTTTCACAATACATAAAAGTTTAAAGTTGCAATTTTATCAGCTCCTTCGGTTAATTAACATAAAAAGTGAATTAAAAAAATTATAAACTTAGATTAAATTTAAAGTCTTTGTTTTCCAAGTAAGAAAGACGATATGACGAAATTTATTTTTCGATTTCATCACTTTCATAAATGTGAACATTTGCTCATAACTGTAACTGACGAAAAACATAAATAAACAATCGCCGGCTCATTTTGTTTTATTATCGATTTCTAAATTAGTTTTTAGCATATTTTATATTAGCCTCATACTTAAAAATTTGTGAAAATAAATTTCACTGAAGATTGCCGATTAGAATTTTGTAAAAATTAGTGGACGATTCTAAATTAGTGGCTGAGATAACAGTGTTAAACATGTTTTTGTCAAATTTATCTAAAATTAATGGAAGAACTTTGTATAAATTCACGCAGTTATCAAATACTCGTTTTTTGTATTGTACAAAGACTTCAAACTTTGACTTACTTTATAATTCATCATTATTCCTAAAACAACGTATTTGTTTATCGCCTCGTTTCTATTGTTCCCAGAAATCTTTACCAAAACGGAAAGAATATGGTAAAGGCAGAGGGCCAATAACATGGAGAAATCTTTTTATTACATTAGGCGTCGGAGGTGTTTTCCTTGGTGGTATGCTGTATGTAAAATGGGAAAAACAAAAGGAAATTGACAAGCAAAGAAAGCGAGAACTTGGCAAAGCTGCAATTGGTGGTAAATTTGACTTGATTGACCATACTGGAAAACCTCGTACTAGTGAAGATTTTAAGGGAAATTGGCTACTGGTATATTTTGGCTTTACCCACTGCCCTGATATTTGTCCTGAAGAAATAGAAAAAATGATCGAAGTTGTGGATACCCTTGAAAAAAGGAAGGAGTTGCCGAAAGTTATTCCTCTATTCATATCTGTTGACCCTGATAGAGATACTGTTGAAGCAGTGGCTAAATATATAGCAGAGTTTTCTCCAAAACTTATTGGTTTGACAGGTTCTAAGGAAAAAGTTAACGAGGTTACAAAAGCTTATAGAGTTTATTATAGCGCAGGTCCTAAAGATGTGGATAACGATTACATTGTAGATCATACAATTATACAGTACCTAGTTGATCCTGATGGTGAATTTGTTGATTATTATGGTCAAACTAAATCTGCAGAACAAATTTCTGGTGCTGTCAATGTTCATATGTTAAAATATAAACAAGCTCATGGTGGATCTTGGTTTTAAAAAAAAGAATTTATTATATAGCTCTTTTTGTAGTAAAGAAATGATATTATAGCAGACTGATTTAATAGCCATTTTTCTATATAAAGGAATGATACTAAATTAAAAGTTTTAACTGCTTCTGTGTTGTGATTTTGGAATTGTAAAATGATAATTGTTAATAAAATAATTACCAAATGTTTAAAATTGTCATATTTGATATTGAGAATGGTTTTAAAAAATTTCATCGGAATGTTACAAATTATTCTAAAAAATAAAACTTAATTTGGGGATATTTCCGTATTGTGATCTGTAGCGCCAACTACAATCGCCAAGGTGCCAGATTTCAAACTTGCAAATTTTTTTTAAAAAAACATATAGATGTTTGCCCGGGGGTGGCTACGGTTTATACCTTTCCAGTTGGTCCCTTTCTGTGATGTTTTTTTTTTTTAGTTTCTCATTCTGCCACAGATCACGATACGGAAATCTCCCCCTTAATTTAACATTTGCATGAGTATTTATTTATTTTAATCTTGCATAGTTTTGTTTTTCTTTGCCTAATAGATAAAACATATAATTAAATTTTCATCTAAAGCAAAAGTACTAATTGTGAAGACTCATGAAGGTGATATCCAAAAGGGTATTTTTGTATGTAAGTACCTATTCATTACAATTTTCAGTATGAGTGCAAAATGTTATTATTCTGAGACTGTTTAATGTATATATATTTTTAAATTATAAAGTGCGTAAAATGTGTTATGTATAGATAAATGATATGTTGACATTTTAATAATAAAATCCATAAATTGAGTAACGTGGATATAAATCGACATTGCTCAAATTGAAATCGTATTAGAATTTTGACACAAATTTAGTGTGAAAAATTTTGCTTTCTCAAAGAGAAGAAATAATTAGCTATTGTGTAGATTGGATATAAAGAAAATTAAACATTTAAGCAATTAATCTATTTATATTTGATATGCTAACTTTGAATATCGTCCTTAGCAGTTCCCTAATAGTAAAATTTGAATTAATCACAGCAATCACAGAAGTTTGCAAATAACAATGCCTATAGAGACCATGCTTAAACACAGTTTTGCTTACTGCTAACTTCTTTGAAATATTTTATGAATTTAACTTTTGCAAACATACATACAACAAGACCTCTAGGGAGCGACCATTCTCCGTTCCACAGTAAAATGGTCGTTAATGGAGGTTGGTCGTTCTTAGAAGTTACCTTCATTGGCTTCAAAATATTATCGAATGTACTTGAATTTTCACAAATGATTTTAATTTTAGTAAGTGTCTGCCTTTTGTGCTGACATCATGAAAACCGGATCAATGAATAAAATTTAACATCAATAAAAATTATCTTTATTGAATTAATTATATGTTAAAACAAATTTATCTATTATGAATAATAGAACTTTTTTAAATATTTAAACAATTTTTTTTAAGTTTGCATTAGTTTTGAATCACAAAAATTAGTTAGCTTTAAAAGATGAGAAAAGGTTTGTTTGTTTGAGATGCTTAATTTTTTCTAAAATTTTTTTTAAATTAAGCTTTCAACTCTAATAGTAAATAAATCATGGTCATTAGTGCACTTTGACTGCAACATAAGGTTGTGGATCTCTTTCAGAAATTGTCAAAAAGAGCTCTCAAAATAAGAGTTCTCACAAATATTTAGAATACATTTTAATCTACCATATATTCCGGCGTATAACGCACACTTTTAATACAAAAAATAACATTGGAATGTACGGGTGCGCGGTATACGCCGAATATAAAAAATTATAGATTGCATAAATTTAAATATAGAAAAATAATTTTATTTTAAAGAAATAACATACCTTTACCTATATACTTTATTGATTTTCGTTATTACATAAATAGTTCATTATATTCGTCTTCCGTTATTTCTTCAGGCACGTCATCACAATCTGTTTCGTCTTCATCATCTGTGTTACCCTCATCCATAAATAAACAGTCATCATCTGACCCGTCCAGATTATTTTAAATGCTGCATTTTTAGAATGATTTTCTAACCATTTCAGGCTTAATTTCATCCCATGCTTTTGACATTCATTCGCACACTGTTTCCAAACTTGCACGGCGCATATGTCCTCCTTTTGTAAAGGTTTTCTCGCCCTCCAACATCCAAGTGTTCCACTGTTTTCTAAAATTGGCTTTAAATGGTTTGTTTAAGCAGACGTCCAATGGCTGAACTAATGGTGTCAATCTGCCCGGAATAACTGCCATATGGGTGTTGCATTATTTTAACATTTTTTTTGCATTATCTGTAAGGTGGGACCTAAACATGTCCCACACTAAGAGGCTTTCTGGTTTTCTATTGATACTAGACGAGATATTGCACATGTACAATCCAAATTTTCGCGCGCGTTATACGAAGAGTATATCTTAAAATTTAAAAAAAGGTATTAGAAATTACGGGTGCGCGTTATACGCCGGGGCGCGTTATGCGCCGGAATATACGGTACTTATTTGTTTGGTTAATATTTTTTGTTTTGATATTTTTTCGTGTTTCCTTATTTGACCTTTTTCTCATTAGGTGAAAGGTGTTGCCCAGTTGCTGGGAGAGGTTTTAATGGTCTCACCTAAAGGTTTTCTTCTACACAAGGCTTATGGAATAAATTCTGTGCCTCCCAAAAGTGGTCGTAAATAGAGAAGGTCGCTACATAGAGGTTGGTTTTTTCTTGAGGTTTCACTGTATTTAGCTTGTGGCGTAACTACCACTATAAATATTAAATACCAGTTCACTAGTATATAAGACATGTTAACTTGATTGTATCATGCGGTACGTTTTGATAGATGAAGGTTGACAATAGTCGATAATTATAATTCCCCACATTGGTGACCTGTGGGCGTGATAAGAACATGCCAATGTTGATGGTTGATCCACATTAAACAGTTGATTTGCTTAAAAATATACTGCTCAAAGAAAAAAAAATTCCGGTGAAGTAAATAAAGTCTCCTGGTCAAAAAACAATGAAGAAAGAAAAAATAATAAGTGAAATGCTATAAAAAAAATTGATGGAAAAAAATAGCGAAAAGCTATAAAAAAATAACGAGCGAAATGCTAAGAAGAAAAGAAGATACATAATGAGCAAAAATTTAAATAAATAAATAAACAGCATGAATCAACCAGTGGTGTTCATTCATCGAATTCTATCACAGATAAAATTCTGGAAAGGGAGTAATGTGGCGTTAACTACCACTATAAATATTAAATACCAATTCACTAGTATATAAGACATGTTAACTTGATTCTATCATGAGGTACCTTTTGATCGATGAAGGTTGACAATAGTCGATAATTATAATTCCCCTCAAGCTCGATTTCAATGCTATAGTGAATATAGGGAGTCTAATATCAAAGAACTGTGTGAGATTACCTCTTGAAAAATATTTAAAAAGGTAAATCATTAAATTGCTTGTCACTTATTTTTAGAACATTGTTGACCGATAATGGGCCAACTCATCTTTCCATAGCCAAACATTGTTGATCGATGATGATGTATAAACTCGTACTTGCACTAGAAAAGGCAAGTTAACTCATCATCGGTGAATAACGTTTCAGCATGAAATAGGTATTTAGAATGTTTCACTACTACTCAGTTTCAGTAATTAATTTTGTTGAAAATAAACTTTTTTATCTGGAATATTAGTTTACATTTTTAATTCTTCAATTATAATGTGAAAAAGGGAGGAGCTAAACTTTTACATATATGTTAAAGTTGGATTGCAACTGACCATGCGAGAAAAAAAATTGCAATACTCATGTATGATTAATACAAAAAGAAGAAATAACATTTTTATTTGATGGTTCTTTTACTTATTAAACTGGGTATATTCTATTTTTTGTTTTGATCCATGTCTTAAAATTTTCTTTTTTGAGGCAAAAGTTCTAAGATTTTTCTTTATTGAAAATGAGAGAGAAAAATTATTCAAATTCTGAAATGTTTTTAATAAGGTATTCTTAATTCTAACTAATTGTTAGAGAGATTTAGCTCTCTTGTTTCATATGCCTTCGTGTTTACATATGCATGTTTTAAATTAACTGTGCAAAGTTTGAAGACTACCAACAAAAATGTTCAGTTGCTTCAGAATGTATGTGCATAAAGCTAAGGAGAGAAATGTTTTTACTAAATAAAAGTAATAAGTTCATTCAAGGAAATATTGCACACTTAAAAGTTAATTTTTTTTTTTTTCAGTTTGAAAAGTTTAATTTTCAATGAGTGTGGATTCAGGAGCCTAACTTTTGTTGATATTTTATGTATGTTTCAGTGAAACCTCCTGTTGTGAACACTCCTGCAAAACAGACGTCTCTCAATATGGAAATATTTTTTATTCCCCATGAATCATCTGTGAATAACCCATTATGTACATTCTTCCGAAATTGGACATTCCTGTAACTGGACGTGGACAGTCATTTTTGCTCTGAATATTATTTTCTATCTCTTCAAAGCAGACCCTATTTTTTCTAAATTTAAAAAAAAAATTTCTGCTTCAAATTTCAAGAAAAAAATATGCAACTTTTTACTATTTTTAAAGAATGTAAATTTTTTGCCTTATCCATAACTAAAAATATTGTTAAGCTACTTTACTACTAAAGAATCAATCTTTCTCCTGTCACCTTGCCTAGAAAGAAGAGAAAATGATACTGCCCATTGGGACAGCAGCATCTTTTTATCTGGACAACATAGGCCAGGGATGGGCAAACTTTTTTGGTCGTGGGCCAAAAATCTAGAAAAAAAAAATTTGGTGGGCCGCGTAAAAACTTCTAAAATAAGAATTCTAACTTCTGATATAAAATAAAGTCAATTCATCATTGAACGCATGGCACTCTACATCAACTTTGCATTTTTTAAATTGCATTTTTATATTGGGATTAAAAATGTTTACAAATAACTCAAAAAGGCAGTAGCCATTTCATACATTTAATAATTTCACCATTATTTACAATGACGTTGTATGTCAGCAGCCTTTCCATACGCAATAAATTACGTTAGAACTCACGCCGGAAGAAAAATCCGCTCGTTGGAACTTAAAATGCGTAGTAAGCCTCATGTGAAGTACAATTCACCTATATTAGATTCCATATGTCTGCTCCTCGAGAAAGACAAATACTAGTTGGAGCTAATCTACGGCTATTCTATAAGGGACTTTCGCTTTCAACATTTTATCAATTGAAGCTGTTAATGCTAACTATTTTAATTAATTTATGTTTTGTAGAACAAAAATAGAGAAAGTTAAAATTCTGTCCGCGGGCCGGATAAAATCTTCCGGCGGGCCACAGTTGGCCCGTGGGCCGCAGTTTGCCCATCACTGACATAGGCTATGAGACCCCACAAGCTGAAATGATGTCTTAAATCCTATCAATGCTTCTTCCCCTCTAAAAATTTCCTTCATTTTCTTATCAATTGAAGAATACAGTTGGGGTAAAGAAGAGAACAGAAATATAATCTTTGAGGTGTATTCATATGAATGAGACATTTACTCAGACACTTGATAGATGATTAATTGCGAATATATCAACTTCATAGGTCCTCCTGCTTTACAGGTAAGCATTGCTTTCTTCTTCTGTGAATCACAGGAGGTAATAACCATGTTTCCTATCAAGTCATGGGCAGGTGTTCCGGAGTGTTAACCTAATAACTGAAACCAATTGAGAACTGAAATTTGGTATATGGCTTACTTGACCCATAACTTACTATAGCCTATTTGATATGATTACTTGAATGTCTGTGGTGTTAATAGGAAATTATATTCATTTATCTGTAGCTATGTAATTCTTTTAGTAGAGAATTTTTTTAAAGCTTGAATAAATATCCTTTCAGATAGTTATTGTTGATTTAATTATTTTTACATTAGTGAAAATATTCTAAAAACAATTCACAGTGATAAACTTGGTTATTAGGATGCCCTTTCCGTAAACGGACATTCGGTCCCAAGAGTGTCTGCTGAACAAAGGTATCACTGTATATGAAACTTTAAAAAAACAAAGTTTTTTTTTTTTAGAAAAAAAAAAAACGTGAGCCCTTCTTTACTCTATGCTTTGTTTATTTATTTTCAAATAAGTTCTTTTCATAAATGGAGTAGTAATATCCTCAATTTTAATTTTTTTCATGCAGGTCCACCAGGGGAGGTCGACCAGGTAAATTCAAAACAAATGGAAATATATGTTTGAAATCATCTGCATTGTGGGTAAGAGTTTAGTAATATTTTTAATATTTGTGAGTGCTATTTAAATATATCTTAAGGATTCTTTTAGAATTTAGAGTATACACTAGTAATTGTCTTGTTAAAAATATAAAAAAATTACTGTAGTTGTTACGGATTACTCTGGGATATCAAACACCATAAATAAAAACGCTCTATTTACTAGAAATGATGTTTAATCATTTCCAGAACCGAGATGATATTTTAAAAAAAAAAAATTATTAGGGTCTGAAGCTTTTTATTGTCAGATTCCATTTGGGTCACAAATATTGTTTATATGCTTAAATTTTAAAAAAGGCAAAGAAAAAAAAAACTTGTTAAGAACTGTTAGACCTTAATATTTTGTTACAGTACCTTAAGTTGTAATATTAATTCTTGATAGAAAAACTATAGAACAATGTTTTTAGCAACTCCTTCCTACTCAAATTCTTCTAACTTTGTTTTTGGCAAGATACATGGGTTACTAATTTTTTATTTATTTTAACATGTTTTTATTATTTATACAATTCTGTTATGCTTTTAACTTTATGCTATCATCTTGAATAACTTGTTCGTGGTAGATTGAAAAATTGCCTGGAACTTATATAATGACTACTGTATTGATACCCATAATGAAATTTAATTAATTCATTGAGTTAATTTGAAATTATCTTGTTAAGGTTAATGCTTAGTATATGAATTTTCTAAAATTTCAGCATGTCTAATTGACTTAGGTTTTATGTTTCAAACTGAAATAACAAGTTTCTGCCTAAGTAGAAAGATCCTCCAGATAAATATTATTTCAACACAACTAGAAAAAACTCTTTTTAGTGAAAAATATGAAGTATTAAATGAAAATTTTGAATAGTTTAAAATAGCTATTCAGTCTAAATAATTTGCAAGTAATAAATCATTTTTAAGTAAATAAAAATCGAAAAATAAAATCTCAATGATTTATGTAAAGAAGTATAGTAAAACTTAATTATTTTATAAAGAACTTTGAAAATATGATAATCAAATTATATATCATTGTAATGTACTACAAATTTAACAATTATCTTACTAATTTTCATAATCAAATGCTGTTAAGGATGACTAATTTATGTTATTATGACTAAATTATTACAGAAAGCTATGTAAATTTTAACTATATTATATTACATTAAATTTTATTTGTTTTGGATTTGAACTATTCATTTATTAGCCTTCTATTGTCCCAATAAGCATGTGTCTAAATAAAGTGGCTATATGAAGAGTTTAGAGAAATATAAGCCACACTGTGTCCAAAGGTGACTTAACAAGTTTCCACTAGATAACATTATACATAGACACATCATTCAACCATGGCCAAGCAACCCTAGCCCCATTTCTATAGATCTCCTTTCTTTTAACGGCCATGGTAGGAAAGCAGTGTAATTTTGATCTAGGTCAGATGATATGAACAGCGTCTGAGCTGGTACCTCTTTCTCCAAGCATCCAGAGAGAGAGAAGGAATCGTCTCAGGTGCTGTCTATGTTATCTGAACAGGTTCAAAATTATGTAGTTTTTCTACTGTAACCTTTAAAGGATCATTGTGTTTATGAAAATCTTGGTGTTTGACAGTTTTTACGTGCTTTGTCTACCATGACCTTTAAAGGATCATTGTCTATATGCAAATCTTGGTGTTTGACATATTGAGAAGTTTGATGTCCCGAATTCTTCATTTATAACGCATGTTAATGAATTTATTTTATTTTATTATCCAACTTATTTAGCAATGTAAAAATTAAGGTAAATTAATTTTATTAACCTTTTGCTTACAGATGGTACAACATGTGGACCACATGTGATGGTATAGCATAGTACACCATAAGCAAGAGGTTAAATTATTTTAATTTTATTAAATTTCTTAAGTAAACAAAATTCATATATGTTATAGTATCGATTGATTTTTTTTAAAAATGTTATTATTAATTCAAACTTAGGTTAATTCAATTTTTTTTTTACAATCCCTTTAAAATTTTCTGTATGTAAATACATTTTTGCATTATTTCATTTCTATTGTATATAAAAATAGTAATAAGAATCATATAATTCTTTTTAATGTATGCTTAGAATTAAAAAAAAATTATATTAACAATTTTATTTATGGTTTATTTCCTTAAAAATAACAAAAAATTGAATTAATTTAATTTTAATGAACAGTTCAAATAATGCTTGAATTACAATTTGTGAAAATTATAATTAATTAAGATTTATGCAATGTTTTAACTACATTCTTCAAAATAAATATTGAAGTGTTGCTATAACTTGCTTGCTACAGCCTGTTCTTTTATTAATTTTTACTGGCTACTTTGCACTGCTATATCAAAACCTAATTGTGTAATTTCTTTTTTTAGGAGCCTCTTTCTGCCTTGGCCTTTTTAGAAGGCCTCTCTATTGAAAAAAATAAGCAGTACTTGCCTGCCAATTTTTAAGTTAAGAGATTTAGCCAATCAGAAGGCAGAGGGGAGTTTAGAAAGATAAGTTAAAAGATAAGTTTTACAAATAAAGACATTTACAAGTAAGTTTTACAAGTAAGACAAATAAAGATAAGTTTTTTAATTCTTTTCTTTGAAGTTCAGCAAAATGTTTATAATTGTAACCTTCAGTGAATACTCTAAAATTATGTAATTTATTATTTGTATTTCTTTGCTAAACTTGATATTAATTTTCCTGCCTCATGGTCAAATTCATTACCTATATAAAACAATTAAAATAACCAACATTAAAATAATATAAAACAAGTAACTTCTTTTGATTCTAATTTCTAGACAAACTTTATATTTCTGCTGAATATGTATGTGTTGGTGATTTAGGATAGGCTATAGTTGTTAAATATTTTAAATTTTAATTGTAGCCAATTTCAACTTGCTACCCTACTTTTGATATATACATAACACATTTCTCAATTTAATATTCCACTATACATCTCCCAAATCGTAACCACAATATCTATAGATTGTTATTTTTTCCCATCACAATACATTATAAAACTATGCAAACACTTTTTATTCTTATTTCTACAGTTTAGACTGACACTTTACAAAGTTTAACTTAATATATTTTCCACAGACTAATATGTAAAAATTAAGATACCAAATAACAGTAATACAATTTATTAAATATGTAACGTTACAAAATTGCTACTTACAAAGAAAAAATGATGAAAAATAAATTAAGCCGTACTAAAATTTGTTAAGAAATTTGTGTTTCCATAACTGAAATGGCAGCCAACTATTTCTAGTTTGATTGCTTAAATGAAATACGTCAAAATTTGATTTTTGCAGATTTTTCAAGTAGAGTTCACAGGAAACCTAAAATAGAAAAAAGATTTATTTTAAAATATTTCTTATAATTACTAAAGCACATTTTCAGCGTGATGTAATTGATTTTGTAATTTCGACTGTCAGATTTATTAATCTTAATTTTTCTTATTTCTGAGATATCATACAGTAACTGTGCAACCAGAAATACTGCTTAAATCCTTTATTTATTTAGTGGGGAAAAAATGTGATTTTACAGATTTTTAAAAATTATTACTTTTGATTACATTTTTTAAGTATTTATTATTATTAACTTATAGAATGGTAAAGTATACAAAATTACATTATTTTGCATAGTGTATAGTTTTTGTGAGAGAATTTAAAACGTGAACAGAATCAGTTAACTGCCACATTCTTAAATTTTATATTTATCTCCCCTCCCCCATACCTTTGGAGGGTCAAGAAATATCTAAACCTGTTAAAAAATATCCGATTTAAAAATAAAAATTTCATTTGAACAAACTAATAAGCATAATTAAGGTTAGACCCTCGAAGCATTAACATTTCATTTTATTAGGTGAAAATCCAATCACTAGATTAAAAGTTGTTTGATGATAAAATTCTGTTCAACTTTCAGGTAACAGGAGAAGCCTGCATGTTGGGCAGTTTGGAAAGATTTTAATACTACCCTCGAAGAAAAGAGACTTAAGGTGGCCGCTGGTAAGCGCCGTCTGGACGGGTGCTCTGGTACCAGTGATGTTTGGGGGGTACGAGCCAGGAAACATTGCTTCATTACGCCAGATCACACAATCTGTTGCACTTTTAATTTGGCTGCATTTTGAATGGTTACGTTTCACCAAAAAATTTGGCTTTAAATGTGTAGTAGATACAAAAAAGGAATATTAACAATACTTTGTAAATATCACACGGAAAAATTTAATGATTGATCAGATAGGATGAAAGTGGATGCGCAACCATATTCCTGCAATAAGTTCTGAGTTGTCTGTTCTTAAAAAAGCAAAGAAGACATTGAAAATTACGAAAAACTGGTAAACTTCTGTTTTTTTGTTTTTTTTTCTTTTTAAAAATTTTGTCAAGTTTGATGTGTAGATGGAAGATAAGTGAGTTTGAAATTTTTTATGCCGTTTTTATTCAGATAACAATGGGCAACTTTTTTGCAATAAAAAGAAATTCAACTCATTCTAATGTTTAAGAGAATATAAATTTGAAAAATTGTTCAAAAAACAATGCAGTGAAAACAGGGGTCTGTCCAGACCAAATTTACTACCGTTTAGCGGTGCTTTCACAAATTCAACTTTAGGAAAAACAGTAGTTTCATAAAATACTTTTTCTTAAAATTTTATTTTAGCATATAATTTTTAATTTTTCACAAATTATGTCTAAAAATAGTTACCTCTCAGAAAAACTTAGAAACAGACCCCTGCATAAGTTAAATTCAACTCTCAATCACAGATTAAGGTGATGCCAGTCAACTGAATCAATGGTTTATACCTCATTATTACTAAAATTTTTTAGCACGCAGATAAATAAGAGATCGGATTGCATTTATAATAAGACATTCCTTTCAATTTGAAGAACAATGGGAATGAATGGTTTATGTTTATTTTTCACAAAAATAACAATTGAATTATCATCTGTTGTATTTTGAGAAATCAACAGCATAAATGTGTTGTACTAGAGAAAAATTGTCCCAGTCCCTAGCAAAATTCATTTTCTTCTTCTCAAAGCCATCTTTTACTAGCATAAATCATTTTTTCCCCATGATCTTCATTTGCTAACTACAACCTTTTACAGTTATAAGGATACAAGCCGCATTCTTAAATAATGTTACACATTCCTGTTAGAAATTTTTCTACATTTTGAATTTATTTTATGAGTTCTTTTTACTTGCTTATGCGCAGTAAACAAAACTTTGTGTTTTCCTTCGTTTTTTTCTTTTTGTCTTTATTTATTATGTTATATATATATATCATTTCTTTTGAAATAATTGTACATAAACAGGTAATAAAAGACAAGGGATAAAAAAGGAGAAGAATAAAATGATTATTATCTAAATATGATATATTTTTCATCCATTTCAACAATGAGTGACTGAGTAAAATCAAAAATTTTTGTGTACACACACACATATATATATCAGGGTGCGTAGCGTTTGTAAAAAGTACTTAAAGGTGCTTTTTTCAGCTGGTGTTTTTAAAAAGTGCTTTTTTTCCAAAAAAAATTTTTTTTTTCTTCAGTGATATCTGGCGGATCCCCTGCATTTCACGAAAAATGGGGTGTTTGCTACGTAATCATTCACACGGACTTCATGTCGTACCCACGTTATGACTTGCGCATGCGCGCACACTCGAAACTGAAACCCGAGTGCTCTAATTCGGATAGAGTCAGATCCTTAATAAATGTTTTTCTTTTTAATTTATTTTAATTTTGTTTTACTTCTAACACTTTTTTGACGTAGGGGGTAAGGGTACTTTTTGTTTGAGTTCAGGGTCAAGTTGAATTCACTCAAAGATGTGGGAAAGTACTGATTGTTTTGATTTATGTCCGTTTCTTTTTGGGGTTTTTTTAAAGCTAAAACTCTTTATAAGAACTTTTTGTTTTTCAATAATATCATTGATTGAATATGAATTTTTTGAGTGCTTGAAAAGTTTTTAAAAAGTGCTTATTTTTGATTCAAAGATTTGGCTACGCACCCTGCATATGCATATACTATATGTATGTATGCATGTTAAAGTTTTTATACATTCAATTTGACTATAAAACAAAAGTATTTTTGTAAGCGACATTAAAGGCAAAATAAACTTTTAGAAATGTTGTATTTTAAGAAGAAAAAAAATATTACATTACCACTAATAAAAAAACAAATCCATGTTTTTGCACATTCCCAGATTCATCAATAAATTCGTATATTTTGTTTAAAAAAAACTATTTTTCTCTGATTATAAGGAAATGAATTATGAATTAAAATTTAATTTTAAAAAAATTCAGTGTTGTACTTCATTATAGACACACAACTTCTTAACTTCAGAGTTGGCTAAGAAAAACTATTCAGATATTTATTTTTCCAGGCGAAAATTAGCTATTAATTATTTGTAAAAAAAGTTTAAATAAATATAGTTTTTATATTTAGCTGAAAAATGAATTTCTGTTATAACTCCAGATGTAATGGAGAAAAAAAATATGTTTCTTCTAAGCTTTTTATTAATTAGTCAATAAGAATTAAGGCTGTTGTTATTATTTCAATATCACTTAAATAATGGATTTTAAGGAAACCTTGAAATACTAGGTCCACAAAAAGGTGGGGGGGGGGGTTACCAGACTTATAGATGCTAAAATAAATGCTTCCAAAATCACAACAATAAAATTATAAAGAAAAGTAACACAATACTTACTGAAGGTAGAAACATTGACTTCACATGCTTTGATACATCTTTATTTAGCTTCCTGGCCTTTAATAAATAAATAAATTTAAATAGAACCAGAAAATTAAAAAAAAAAAAAAAAACATAACACACTTTAATAATCCAATTTTAAAAAAGAAAAAAAAAGGCATATACAAACCAAATTTAAATGCTGGTATGCTACTGATGATAAATCGTAAACTGCATCATTCAACTTTTGTCCTCTTTCACCTCGAAATAGAGAATCTTGCGATATTTTATGCTGTAAAAAAAGGAGATAGGCTTGAGAGAAATTATTATGATACTGAAAAAAAAGCCAACATTATTTATTGCATACGTAACTGTTATATGATAGAAATCCGTCATTTTATACAATACCTAGGCAATGCATATAATTCTGAAATCAAACGGATAAATAAAAAATCTAACTTTTAACATATTGCCTAGGCATGGCATACTTAGGCAATTTATTCGACTATTCACCAAATGATAAACTGGCAAAGTGTGAAATATGATTAATGCATTGCACATAGTATGACTAAAATTATTACCATACCGTACACAGGGGTGATTGCGAGCCCAAGTCAAAATTCCGGAAAATTTCCTGGGTTTAAAAAAAAAACCCAGTTTAAATTGAAAAATTAGAAAATTTTACCTTTTTCTCAATATTTCTTAGTTTACTTAAAATATATTTAAAAATTTTCACATACCTATATCATTTACACATACTTATGATGACCTGGAGAAGTAATTAAAATTTACAAATATGTCTTTCTTTTTGGAGTTAATGATTATAACAACTATTTACTGATAAAAAATGAATATTAATTATGAAAATAAGCTTATAAAGTATCCCTCTGGCTCTCCCTTACAAACAAATAAAATAAACTGTGTTTTTAAGTTCCAACTTTGAAAATTTGATTTCCGGAAACTTCTGTGATCAATGATTTTTTGAAACGTCTGGACCTTCGATCTCCGGAAACTTCCGGATCACTGCTAACAAAAAATCCGGATTTTTTCCGGAGCACAATCAGCCCTGCGTACATGATGGAAAATAGGTTGTAAGTATTTTCAATTACCCAGTATTCCCTACACCCATTTCTTTTTAATTTATTTAAAAGACCCTGTCCATTATTCCTTACATCGATGTTTTAAGCAAAAATAAAATAATGAGCAGTGTTTTTCTTGATGGTTTCCTAGCACATAACTATACAATCATACTTTGTCTAAAGAGCATTTTATTCAATCGTATAAAATGCCTTGGTAAAATATATAATAATTTTTATATTTCATACTTTGCCTATAAGTACCAGGCATTGTATACAATGCCAAGATTTTGTACATTATAAGGTAATGCACCTGTTTAAATAGATACTTTACTAAAACAAAGTTATTGTAGATTACAGCAAATTTTTACAAGTACTTCTAACCACATTACACTCATCATAAAAATATTTTTAAAATTTACCCAGAGGTACAGAAGTTAAGAATTTAATTAAGTTAAGTTAGAATACAGAGGTTAAGAATACAATAAATATTGTATTCCTAAATAATATTGAGGAATACAACACCTGCATACTAACAACAGAAATCATGTTATTAAGAGAGACCTGTAAAGTCAATGAAGCTTGTTTATGAAATTTTTGATTTTAATTGCTTACAAATAATGAAACATACTCTATACTGTCAGTAGTAAAGAAAAATGTTTTTATTTTCATCTTTTGTATTTTAACAATTGCATTTTAAAGACCAAGACAAGATAGTTATCACCTAAAACTGGAATGTTAAATTTTTGTATTTCTACAACTTTTGTTAAAAAAAAAAAAAAAAATTGTTAATTTAAAACTTTTTCCCAAGTAAACACAACTCCTTTTTTAATGCTTTCTCAACTATTTCTCATTATTAGATATCACTGGATTTTCATTTTAACCATAAAGACAAAATATTTAAAACGATAAAAAGAAAACATAATTATCAAGTTAAAAAACAAACTGTTTTAACACAAACTTTAAATGTTTTTATGCAATTTTATTACTATCCAATTATCTTTGTCCTAAAATTGATATCATAGTCTTGTCAAGCATGGCTCCTTTAGAAACGAAATGTCGCATTGTGGTGACTTACATACTCAGCTATATAAATCAAGGATATAACAAGAAATACTGGAAATCTGGCAGTGATAAAGTAAAATAAATTAGTGCAATTCTACAACTTCAACAAAATCCATATAAACATAAAAAAAGGGTGAAATGAAATACTTTTAAATACTTTGCTAGCTAACTCCAAAGGTAAGTAAAGCCGTCGTCTAGATGCATTGAATGGTATTCCTCGAAGAACATTACAAATACCTTGGCATTTACCAATGTGAGAAGCTACATGATCACAGTGAATATCTGTGACACCTAAATAACAAAATAATAAAAAATTCAGACATGTGATTGCTGGCAAAAGAAATTATCTGAAATTTTTTTTGCACAAAAGTAACATTTATAAAATTTTAAGTGAGGAAAGAAAAAAAAATTACTGTTAATCATTAATACATAAAGGAATACATTTTGAAAAAAAAATATATCTTCCTCTTTTTTGCACTATGCATGGCATAAAAAAATGAATTTAAAAACCTATGAAACCTACAGCAACAACTGTAAAAAAATTGAAGACAAAACCATATGTATTTGCGCCAAAATTACCCGAATCAGGAGCACACGTCAGAGAGAGATTAATTAAATTAACGTTTCAAAATTCATGTGTAATATTGTATTAAAAATATCGAGATTTTAAAGAATATGTGAAAATAAGTAGTGATAGCTGCCGAAAAACTCATTTAAAAGAAAATGATGAATTATCACATTAAATAATGAATACTCAGGTGCGCACCATGCCCAGGGTTGCCACAGTAAAAAATGAACAAAAATAGTTGCTTTTAGTATCCTCAAGCATGAAAATAGTTACCTAAAACTATAAAAATAGTTGCCTGAACAGGAGCAAAAATAGTAGCCAAATAATTAAAATTGTAGCTTAATTGTCAAATACTATGATAAGGACTGGTTGATGTCAGAAATTTTAAATCGTGATGCATTGTCCGTTAGACATCACGATTTAGCATATGTTCAGAAATTACCTATGGGAAATCAATCAAAAATAAATAAATCTATTACAAAAGAAAATATTAATTCTAAACATATTCTACTATAATATCAATATCATTGCTTAATTTTTTCAATTAAAATAATAAAGAAGTCAAAGTGAAAGCAAACCAAAGATTTATTTCATTTTTCTTAAATTAAAAATGATTTAAGATTTATTGGTTTAAAAATAATAATACTGTAACAAAATATTTTACATACGTACATTAAAATTAAACGAAAGTAGAAAACAAACCAAAGAAATGTTCACTTTAGAAAAAAAATTATTTTTTTAAAATTATTTGTTGGGAAAAAAAACCATGCTTTTGAAACATCATTAGATCCTCTTTGATTCAATTATTTAAAATAATATAAAGTAGTATTAACTAATGGTCAAATTCTGTACTGAATAAATGTAAAAATATTTTTACTTATTTATTATTATTTTCGTTTTTGAAAATAAAATTGACTAAAGATTTATTTCTTTAAAAATGACACTGACTATCTAACAAATTTCTTAACAAACAAGTATTGAAAGAATTTTAATAAAATTTAAAAAAAAATACTTTAAGTACTAATGTTAAATTATTAAAAAGCGTCCAAACGTTACTAAACTCTTCTATTTAATTTTTAAAAAAAAATTTTTTTTTTAACTAATAGCCAAATTTTTTTAAAACTTTGTTTTCAGTTTCACAAAAATAAAAGCAAATTAAATAAAGGTAAGCTTTATTTTAATTTTTTTATAAATAAAAACTGAACATTTATTAGTTTAAAAATAATCAAATTATTAAACTCACCTACATTAAATAAATTTGAAAAAAACTAACTTTTTATAACAAAATTAAATACAAAATACCCCTATTAAATTGTATTGCTTAAAATGAAAAATAATAATTGAAAAAAAAACAATGAAGAAACTTTTTTAATTTATATTTTCTTTTCATTGATCTATTGAGTTCAGAACAAAAGTTTAAGATAACAGCGATTATGCAGCAATCGCAAAGTAACAGTAGGTCTACGAAAAATAAGAATAAGTATAAAAAGAACTTCGCTAAGAGTAAAAAAGTCTCCCAATAATCGCCTATTCCTGAAAATAGTTGCTTTTTTAGCCTTTACAGGCAAAAAAAGTCGCAAATAGTCGAATTTTAGTAGCCTCCAGCCTGTGGCAACCCTGCATGCCTTATGATACGAGAATAATCATATCATTGTTCGATATGTTATGGCTTTACAAAATATTTGTTTTTTAAAATTGATATTTTAAAAAATCATGTGGAAGTCAACAGAAATAACTACCAAAAAAAAAACCTATCAAAAAAGTTGACCGAATTTAGTACATATAAAAAAGTAATTACTCTAATGTGTGATTCGAATTTCTCATTCCTTATTTATATTGTATGAAAATATAGGAATTTAAAAAACCATGCAGATATCAGTAGTAATAACAGTGAAAAAGCGAATCAGAAAAACAATGATGTTGTTGCTTCAAAAAGTGACTCAAATGTGCAAGAGTCAAATTTTGAGTGTGGTAATAATGTATAAAAAAATATGGGGATTTAAAAAAAAATTCAAACCAATAATAGCTGCTAAAACGATTCTAACACTGCATGGATATACAATGGTATTTACGTAAAACGAGCCTCCAAAAGTGATTACTCAAATTTCCAACAAAATTTATAGAAAAAATTTCAAATTAAAGATCACATTTTAACATTAGTTAGACTAGGAAATCTACAGAAATACTAAGAAAGAGTTTAATGTAAGGAAATCTTCCTCCGTAAAAAAAGTAGCTTATAACTTTATTCTATCAAACTCTTTCATCATTTATAAAATCGAAGAAAACACTTGAACAAATTATATGATTTCTTAACAGTCAATAGGAATAATCGAAAATAAAAACTTCAATGTTATAAAAAATAATAATAAATTAAATGATTTTTTTCTTCAGTAAATTACGAAACCTATGATAAGGATACTTCTTTTTTTCCGAATGTGTTTAAAAATTGATTAAAAATACAATGAGATTTCAGTGAAACTGATATATTTACCCTAACTTATCCTTATTTGAAAAACTGTTAACTGGAGAAATTTGTTTTCCTTATTTCTTCACAAGCTTGTTCTTCTGGGATTGCGTTTTTTATTTAAAGAGGCAATCGTTGCTTAGAATATTAACTCATTAATGATCAAGTTGCAATGATTCAATGTTTTTCGAGGACTGACAACTGAAAAATAAGTCAAATATATATTCCTTAAAAGTTTTTATTTTATTTGTAAAAGATTAAATGTTCTTAAAATTTTGGAAACTACATTCAAGTTAAACAGAAAAATAAAAAATCATACAATACCAGCCGAGCAATTGATACAGACTCATTGATACTGTTTAAATGCATAGAAATTTTTTTTTATTAAGCTAAGGTCAAAAGGCTGTTCTTATCAGCTCACGAGGCATTTTTTTTATCTCAAAAAAGTATTTTGAGAACAGAAAGTTAATTTCATCTACATTATAACACAAAATGATTTTAAAAATCAAATAAATTTTTTATTTTCAGTGGTAAGAGAATTGAAAGTATTATAAATAAAATGTTTTTACTATAAAAATAGGAAGGAAAAAAAACTTATTACTAAATAAAAAAATTATTTTCATGAATTTTGCTTAAAGATATATGCATACAACTTGTTTATGTATAATATTATCTCAAATATTGTCTTCACATAAAGGGCATCCGTGTGAACTATTAAAATTGAGTTCTAGTACGTTAAAATCCGACCATTAGATCAACAATTATGTAGGGTGTTTCTTTTCTTTTTTTTCCACACTGTAAGTTATATCATGATTTTTGAAAAATAATAATTCTGAAGCAATTTAAAGCACAGTTACAATGAACTGAATACAATAGTTATATGCTTAAAACAATTTTGTGCAAAAATGTCAGGTTTAAAAATAAATAGGGTATTTTGAAGCAGCAATTGCATTATTAACAATTTAGCTATTTATGTAATAAATGTCCTTAAGAAAAAAAGTAAAACAAAAATTTAAACGAGTACAAATATATTTTAATTATTAAATTGTTCACAATATTTCTGTACATCAAGTTTTGCTTTAATAAATTAAAGTCAAACTTCTGTAACTTATAAGATATGTACTATCTTTTAGGTCCTTTATTAAACGTGTTGCTGAAAACAATTGTTTTAGTTCTATTAGCTATTGTAATATATTATTGCACATTTCTGCATTATTATACATTTGATGTATAATAAATCAAATTTTAGAATTATATTTTGACTGAAAAGTTAATAAATTAAATTTAAATACATGTATGTTAGTTGTGAATAATAAGATGTAAAATAAAAAAGGAAAAATTTGACCTTTTCTTAATGAAAACTCAAATAAGTTTAAATATACAATAAAGAACATTTGCAACTTTTTTATGGTTAAAAAGAAAATGCAGATCTTGTACATTTTAAAAATACCTACATTCTACCACATTAAATCTTTAATAATCCCAGAAAAATATCACTGAAATTAAATAAAAGGAACATAAAAAAGATTTTACTGCTAGTAAGATAACATATTTACCAAATGCCTGCAAAATCAATAAATACACAGGCACAGCAGAATTATCACAGTAGTTTTCTAAGTCCTTTATAGAGAAAAATGGCTTATCATTTAAAAGAGTTTCCTGAAATCAACAAAGACATGAAACTATTGGTTGTATGCTTAATAATGGCTAAACTTATTTACAAAATGTAACATAAAAATAAATATTAGGACAAAAGCAAAATGCCTACATCTGCTTATCTTTAAAAGTTTGAACATTCAAGAAACTAGTAAAATTTTAATACTTTAAACCTTTGAATGCCTTTATAAAAATATCTACTAATCACATTTTTTTTTCACAATAAATAACAAAAACAACAGCTGGTTTAAATTGGAGACAAACAAATATGTAAATAAGAGAAGTTAAAGTGCTAAATAGTTATTTTAAAACTTGCAATTTAATAATATATATAAATATTTTTACATAAATTTATAATAATACACAGTAAGAAAAATTATTACTTAACCTTCCGTTAGTCGCGCACTTGTTTCCGACATGGTTAATCGCGTTGCACCTATGAGGTGTTTCTGATTTTTTGAAAGCCAAATGAAATTTAGTCTAGTTTAAATAGTTAATTGTTACCAATTTAAGACTCTTTAGAGAGATAAATATCAAAAAACTTATTCAGCGAAGTACCGAAGATAAATTTTTCTTGCTCCCGCGTCGGATCTCTTCCTCAAGCACAAGATGTTCAACCAATTGACGCAAGAAGGTTCTGCGGTTTTTTACTCCGTAACCATTTTCTGTGTATATAACTCGACCATTTATACCTGCTACGTTGAGAAGGACAGAAAATGAGATAAAATATTTATATTTAATTCAGAAAAATATTATATCCATAATACTTGCGTCAATGGTCGCGCTGCACCAGAGGGGTGATTTGAGCGGTTCCAACTCTCCATCGACATGTCCTAAGGTCGGTTTTACACGGACATTTGAGTAATCCAAAGTTAGGAACATAACATTAGGCTCGACCCCCGGAAAAATCTATTGACGGCAAAGGAGGTGGATTTGCAGTAGGGATGCACCTGTGAGGTGCGCGCGACTAACAGAAGGTTAAACAAATGTTAGGTGATTTATATCATCCAAATCATTGAAATATTACTGATTACACATATTTTGGTGCACTATTTATTTGAAGTGCAATTATTTGTTATATCACATTTAATTTTATATATGGTAAAATAAATTAAATAATGAAGGAATAAAAGATTGTAAATGGCCTATAGCTCAACATCATCAAATGTATCAATTGTCTAATGATAGCTTCTAAATTATGCTTTTCATTATTTCTATGTATTACTCATATTAACCATGTGGTAGTCAACAGCTTAGACTTCAGAATTCTGTAAGTAAAAAACTCACATTTCTTTGAGGTTTAAGGCAAATTGATGATAGTTTTACCTAATCAGTGGGGACAATGACATCATAAAAACTAATATACGATATAAATACTTTAGTCATTCAAACTGGTTGAAAAATTCCAGCAGATTATCCTCGTCACTGCAAGTGACTGTGAGTCTTAGATTATATAGAGATTTTTTTTTTAGAGCTGCAATTTACTTTTATTTATGACAGAATTATTTATATTTGCACATAATATAATTTTTATACTTAAAAAAGTTATAAAAATAAATGAATGAATTTTTGTACAAATAATTTTAAAATTATTGAAAAGGCACTACTGGAAAATATCATAGTGAATAAAGGATATTATCTAAGACACATAACAGGGAATAGTTATTGGTAGGGAAATGGGCAAACAGATAAGCAATCCTGTGTAAAGGGACATTCACATTGGATGTGGAAAAAATTGCTTATGCAAATTCGGGTATACGAACAATAACCTGATAGAAGAGTTTTTCACAGATATTTCATCAATAAGTCTCTCATTCACATCTCCAAATTTGCAAACATGAATTTTTCATATTCCGTGTGAATAATTTTTACTTTTTTGGCTGATGAAAGTCGATTGATGTCCGATGTCCAGAAAATAATTTTGTCAGTTAATCCACAACGGCAGATTGTACGCAGTGATGATTTCCATGTTTCTTAACAGGTAATCTGCCAATTAAACAAAGGAAATTACACAAATATCTGAAAATAGTCATCAGACGTTCCAAACAAAAGCCATCAGCTAGGATACGGAGCTCAAAAATTGACATGGTTGATGCATGGCTTAGGTTGATTAGTAGAATATCTTTGTGCTTGCTTCTTTATTTGAATTGCAAATACCAATTATAACAATAATCTTTAGTTGACTGCTGCATAGCTTAGCCACGTTTTCTTGCTAAAGCTGTGAATATTAGTGATAACTATTATCTACAACTAGTATACAACATTACCTATCCATGTTTCTTTGCCTGTACTGAAACTGTTAACAAAAATAATCATTAGCGTATGAAGAGTATGAATCATTAATGTTATTAATACCATTACTTGTGAACCAAGACCATGTATTATGAACACTAAGACAAGTTTCCGTTATCTGTAAATCACAACAGAAAATTATGAATGTTAATATCAGCTACTATAAATAATGAAATGATAACTGTGGAATGACTACTATAATTAATGGATTACATGGAATGATAACCATGGACTCCATAATAATAACCTTGTTTCAGTTTCTTGGTTTTCCAAAAAAAATAAAAACATATAAAAGAATCTGGCTTTGAGTCTTCATAGATTATCTATTCTTCATAGATCATCACTAGATATAATTATATCAAAAATCTTTACATTTTTCATTTTCAGAATCAATGCCTACAAATACTCCAAAATGAACCTACCTATTTACTTGCATTCTTCAATCATTCACATTATATTTATTATGTTAAGTTTTAAACATAAAAGATATTAGCAACTGAGACATAGCATTTTTAAAAAATAATAATAATAATTTTTGCAAAATATAAAAATCTTAAGGTTACTGCAAACTGGGAAATATGATAATGATGAATTGAAATTTTAACATTTCCTTTCAAAACAATAAATGTTTGATTCAGCATCAGCTTTGGTTAAATTTTCTATGTATTACTGAATAGACAAAATTAAGTAATAGAACAAAAGAAAATCTAAAAAACATTTTTGCAGCACAGTAAAAGTTGAGAACAATTTTGATTATAGGACATTTTTATTGATTTAGATGAGACAAAAATAAATTTAAATGAAATTCTTAACACTAATAAAGGAGGGACTAATTAGAATTATATATAATTATATTTACTCAGATTATCTCACAATGTTGCCACTCCTTGTCTTAAATCTGGTCATGGCCACTTTTTGCTGTCAGTTAATTGATTGTTTTTTTTTTGCTCTATTAGTTGAAGTTAATTGATTGTTTTGTTTCCATTGTTTACACTTTCATCAATTTTGCAAAGTTATTTCTCAGTTTGCAACTGCCCTTAGTATCTTAAAATCTATAGGGTTAAGGCGGAGAAAATACCTACTCACTCGACTATTGATTAAACGAAGAAACCAAGCCTTGGATAATTTCTTCTGTTTTAGAATCTAAAAATATAATGCCAAAAACAAAATTATGAATTTATGGCACAAAATGTATTGATTAAAATTTGGCTAATATAGCTCATGAATTTTATTTTAATTAAAGAAAACTTGAAAGTAAAGTAAAACTTTTGATGTATACACATAAGCAAAATCAAAAGAACTATCATAGATCAAGATAAAGGGGGGGGGGACTATTTTAACTAAACAATAATTTAACAGATTAATTATAAATTCATTTGATCATAGAATAATAGATATGTGATAAAACATGTATTTAGAATAGAAAATATTTGCCAAACGTCACATTTTGCAAAAAGGAAGTAGAAGTGAAAAATGAAACTTTATTTATTAAACTAAGCAATAATACAAAGAAACATAATAATAATAAAAAACATGGGTAAAAAAAATATGTTCTGTTTTAGTTTAGTAAAATTCTGTTAGGTTTAGAAAAATTCTGTTAGGTTTAGAAAAATTCTGTTAGGTTTAGAAAAATTATAATCAAACATTTAATAAAAAAAGAAAAATTTTACCTAAATTTTAGATTTAGTTATAGCCACTTTAGGTCGATCATATAAGGATGTAATTTTCAATTAAATCATTACTTAGAGAAAGTATTTTTTTTTCCTTCAAGCAAATGTTGCATGATAGGCATAAGTTATACATATGTATTAATTATAGTTCTTTGCAGAATACAAAACTGTACAAAGATATCATTTCAAAATTTAATCAAACACTTGAATTAAAAGAAACAACTAATGATTCAAAATTTATAGGCATTGAGATTTCACTAAAAGAAAACGGAATAGGGTTTATCTCAAACTCATTACATTGAATCTTTAATGAAAAAATATGGTTTGGAAAAATGCAAGAAAACAAATATCCCCATAACTAAAGGTGAAGATAGATGTTTTAATCCTACTGATAATTTAGTAAATCAGACTGTTTATCAGGAAATCGACGGTGAACTTTAATAATTAGCAAATAAAACCCAACCAGATATTGCTTTTGGAACTAACTATTTAAAAAATGTCCTGAAAAAAACATTATGTTTTGGCTAAAAGAGTTTTGAAATATTTGAATGTTTCAAAAGACAGAGTCATGTCTTATAGTGAAGAATTCGGATTTTTAAACTGTAGTGCGGATGCAAGTTAGGGCAATGCAGAAGGAGGAAAATCTTTTTCAGTTTGTGTAATTATGATAGGTAATTATCTTTTAACATGGAAAAGTAGAAAACTAAGATATATAGGACACGTGAAGCTGAATTATTTGCTGTAGCTGACACAGCTAGAGAACTTACTTGGATAATAAATATGTTAAATGAAATGAACTGTAAAAATTTTATAAATGCTCCTGTTACTATATTTTCTGATAGCCAAGCTGCTATTGATTGGTTGAATAATGGAAAGTCTTCTAACGAAACCAGACACGTAACTTTCAAATTTCATTTTGTGAGAGACACGATTCAAGATAAAACATTAAAAAGAGTTTATAACAATATTAATTATAGTATTTCTAATTTCTCAACAAAAGCTGTAATGTGTGAGAAGCTATTTTTCTCTTTTGAAAAAATAAGTTTAATTTGAAATTACATAGAGAAAACTGATATTTTTTATATGCATTGTAGTTTATATCAAAAAGTAAAATCCTTCTCGAAGGTGGAGATTGTTTTCATTCCCAGGAAAGGACTGCTACTTTTTCTTTTTAAATTTGTATGTATCTGTCTGATTAATGTCAATTAACTTTTATTTTCTGCCTGAATCTCGATCTGAACGGTCCACAACACCAAATAAATAAAAAAATTAATGATTTATTTTTAAAAATTCATTTAACTTGATTTTTTTCTTAATAAAAACCAACGTTAATTTCTGCATAAATTTTGGCTTAAATAAGCTCTATTATTACTGAATAGAACATTAAACATGTTAAAAACATAACATAAAATAATACCAAGCTTAATGTTTAAAATAGTTCAAGTTATGTTTTTATAGACAAACAAAGTTGCTTCATGCATTTGATAGGAACTTTAAATTTTCATAGTTTAGTTTAATTCTTTTTTCTTTTGTGTTCATAGAACAAATTCATAGTACTAAATTTTACAAATGAACTTTTGGAAAAATTCTTTATCTTCCAATAAGTAGTACAAATAAAACAAACAAAAACAGTTTCGCCCATTTTGAAAAGTTAACATAATTTTGTAATATTTTATTATTCATAAAATCTTAAATGAAATGAAAAAAAAAAATTATATTGCTAAAAATTATTAATTTAAAAAAATAATAATAACAAAATTAAACATTTATTAATTTTGTGTAGAAATTTCAGATGAGTAGATAGAAACAATATTTTTTTATATCACTGTTTCTTGCATGCAACTGATTTTAAGCTATTATTTTCAGGACTGGTTGAATAGATATTTTAATAGTTCATAAAAAAACAGAGTAAATATACAATTCTCAATTTAAGAGCAAATGAGAAAAAATCAGTCTTGGCTCTTGCAGCAATAACAATATATTATTTATTTATTTATTATAAGTGTTTCAATAAAAAATTTCTTAAACTGACGGAAAATTTACCTTTGACAACTCTATAGCAACAGGTTGTTCAGGAGGATGACCCTAAAAATAATGTATTTCCATTATCCAAATCCAAGCAAAAAATTTTAAAAAAATTAAAAAATAGGCACTGAATATTTTGAAATGTGATGTTTCAAAGTTCCATATTAAATTACAAACAAGAAATGAAATTTAAAAACAAAATTAATAAATACAATGAAGAAGTCTATAATTAAGTTTGTTCAATAGTAAATTAACACAATTTTAAATTTGCTTTTTTTTTCATTTTTTTTAAAAATATTCATTTCATAGCATTCATTATATTTAATGTTTAACTCGATATATGAAGGAAAAAAAATCTAACAGTCACCCAAACCATTGTTTTGGGTGTTTAACATTAGAATACATTTTGTTTTACTGAATTGGTTGTTTTAACAATAACTAAAGAAATTTAATTTCTTTTTATCTGAAAATGGAAGATAATTTTCTTAAAGTGAGTAGATATTTTATAGAATTACGTTGCCCACTCTGGTCAAACACCTTTTTCCGTTTTACTGGCAGTAGCAAGATTCCACACTCATTTTTGTTTTGTTTTTTCTTTTTTGCTGGCAAAAACTGATTCTGGTGATTTTTGAAATCCTCATTTGAAGTAAAAGTTTTAACATCTAAAAGATTTTGTAGACAGCCCATTTCTCATACTCGGAGATGATGACCTTCTAAAATTGATCATTTTCTAAACGTTTGAGAAGCAAACCACAGAGATCAACACAACAGCACAAATTTCTTCCAATAAAAATGAGGAACCCATGTGTCACAACTTGAGATTTGGTTGAGATGTTTCAAATCCTCATGACCAGATGAATTCAATCAATTTAACCTCTTAGTCATCTCATGAGTTACTATTCACCAGACAGCATCAATTAATGCCTTTATTATGTCTTGATTAGCTGTATCTGACCTTCCAGTACTTGGTACATCTTCATCACCAAAATTTTACAAACCAGTTTCAGGGCTGACTTTCTACAGACCAGATGATTTTTTTTCGTGCTTGAAAAGCAATTTTACTAATCGATAGTAAGAACATAAAATATGATGAGAATGCAGTTTATCATTTCCATATTATTATTATGTAAATTAAAAGTAACAATAATTTAATTGTATCGTAACTACCACTACAATTATTAAATTCCCAATAACGAGTATAAAAGACATGTTAACTCGATTGTCTTCTGAGGTATTTTCGTATAGATGATGGTTGACGTCATCGGTAGCCTCTCACTTTGTTGACTTTTGGATGTGAACACATTTAGTTTAATGGATGAAACACACTGAATAGTTGATTTGCTAATTGTGACAGCAACATTGTGACCTCACTCTATTGCTACTCTGTCCCAATCACACACAACGGAGCTTGCATACCCTCGACTGCTAATTGCAACATGCGAATAACCACACACACAACCGTGATCTTAATATAGCTCTCCTAGCCTTTCGCAAAACAGCAACAAATCAACTAGTGACATCCATTCATTGAATTCTATCTCAGATAAAATTCTGGTAGGAAAGAAATGAAGCGTAACTACCACTTCAATTATGAAATTCCTAATCACAGTATATAAGACATGTTAACTCGAATTGTATCTTGAGGTATCTTTTAATAGATTACTGTTGACACTGTTGGAAGTCAAACCCAACATAACTAATAATAAAAATATGTGGAAACCATTTTTATTACTCATTTTGCATATATTCATTCTACAAACATTAACAGAATAACTATTAAGTGTTTTATAAGCGAATTATAAGTTTTTGTTAGTATACTTAAAAAAATGCATTACGAAAATATTAAATAATTTATAATATTTATACATTCACTTAAGAAAAAAGCCTGAGCAAAAACAATACTAAATGAAACAAAACATTAATTAAACTTACTGAAAACGTCTTATCGATCGTATCTTTCCAAAATTGCATTCTCATTTCACCAATTGCTGATGTTGAAACTAAATCTCTCACCTGTAAAGCATGAAAATGTTTTTAAACTTGGTTATGATACACAGATTGAAAAAATATTGGTACAATAGATTAGAGATCAAATTTAAAAAAGAAAGATAAATAGTATAAGATAATTGAACATCATTATAATCCCAGTATAAAGTATAATTATTGCCCAGTGGAAAAATAGATGCTTTAAGTTTTGCTTGTCTGCACACTTTTGGACTAGATCAACTTCAACATCATAGTCACAGATAAAGAATTGTAAAAGTCATACAAATCAGGGTAGCATAAGTATTAATAAAAAAGCAGCAAAAGATCAAATAAAAAAATAACAGACAATGATTTTAGAACTACTTGGAGTTGATTGTTTTTCATTTTGAGTTTTTGTTTTGAAGAGGTGTAGCAACAATTTACAGTAAATTATAACATCTAATTTATGTTTTATTGACCCATTGAAGGGATGAAAAGCTGAGTCAACCTTGCCCGGCCCTAGGATCGAACCCAGGACCTGTGGCACGGGAGCATGAAGTGCTGCCACTCAGCCACCGGGCACCCAACATTAATTCTGACTCTAAATATTTGGGAAACTGTAGCGCAAATATGTTGTGAACAAATTTTGAATTTTTCATAGTTAAATAAAATTTAATAATGTGCGTTTCAACATTTTTTCTCTTTCATAAAAATAAATTTAAAGGACTTAAACTTACAAATAAACTATAACTTTAAGTAAAATATAGTTTTTTGAAAATATTTAAATGTCAGGTTGTCTTTTTAATGATAGTTTTACAGAAATACAGCTTTTGCGATTTTTAAAAAAAAAAAAATTCTAATAATTATATATTAAAACTAAAATTTTGAAGTATCTCAATAAATCAAATTTTTCAAATATATAATAATATAAATGTAATAAATTCTGTAAATGTCTAAAAATATAAGGAAAATGGTTTTATTTCACAGAGAAAATAAAAATATTTTGAATATTACACATATACAATTCTAAATTTGTTTTTGCTCTGAATAGATGAATAACGCTTATTCTGAATTGAAATACATAATTAGTCTGTAAATTCTAACAAGCATGAGCCCTAATTAGAACATAAAATATTGAAATAGAAAGACACAAACTTATTAGAATATTTTAAGACAAGTTTAAACATAAATTTTAACCTCATAAATCAGTTTTTTTTTTTAAAGAAAAAGCAAAGCCTTTTCTCCTCCCTTTAAATAACTGATTTAATAGAAATGCTAAAAAAATTATCAAATTTAATAGCGTATTAGAAAAAGCCATGAAACAATATGTTAATACTAACTGCTAATTATTGCTTATTTTTAAATAAATAATTTTATTTTTTTATTACACAAGATAATAAATTTTTTTTTTTCAAATGCATTCAAGAAATCAAAAAGCAAGGATGAATAATCATGATAAACCAATTCATTACCTGTGATACTTCCACATTGAAAGCTCTAATAACAAATGATGCAGTTCGAGCTGGCTCGGACAGTAATAGGGAGCATAAATAGTTTTCATAATCATACTTCCTGAAAATATAAATATTAAAAATGACTACAAATAAATATAATTATTAAAACATGACAGAATAACATATGAAGTTTCAAGTATTGGTCCTTGTGAGCCATTAAAGCTAGTATTGAGAGAGGAATGCTGATTTTTATCATAAAACCCATATTGGAACATAATGTTTTGAAAAGACAGTACCTCTTTAACAAGAATTTGACAACCTTCTAACCAATTCATCTAATGTAGTATAGCAATACTTATTTTATAAGGAAGTCTTAGCATAAAAAGTGAAAATTATTTTTTGTTCTCATATGAAATTATATTTGTAACACTTAAGGATTATGTAAGGCAGTAGTGGGCTTAAAATTCTCTTAATTAAAAGAATGGTTAAAACACCGTTGAATTTATTCTGTTATCCAGGATCTAAAAGGTTAATTGAAAAATGGATCTTTAGCAGGTAGCTTACATATTTTGTGTTAAATATTTCAAGAAGTAGAGGTCAAAAAAATTTACAATTGATAGTAAAAAGTTTTTAATTTATAAAGAACTACAAGATTGGGTAAAAATACTTGGCCCCTTAGTTGAAAAAGCATTTAAAAATCATTACTTTAGTAAAATTAAACCTTTAACCTAAAAATTGAAATCTGGATCTTTTTTAAAAAAAATTTCCCTTCCTGAGCTTATTCTTAAAATCTGAAAATTGTTCAGTCTATTAGAACTGTTTATCGATTTTGACTAGTTTATATGTTTTAAATGTTATTAAATAAAAAAAGTAATTTTTTTTAAAATTTTTTTTTTGGTAATTTTAAGAAAGCATAAAGATAATACACTATTTTCTATTTTATAAAGTGCTAGCTTCTAATAATTGGTCCTGGTTTCAAAAAATTTGAAGATACCCCTCTGAAACTATACCATAAGTTTATATTTAACGTAGACTTTCTTTAAATTCAGTTTAATAATAAGGAAAACGTTAAAGAGCTAAACATTGCTGATTAGTTGAGAGGAGGCAACCGACTTTACAAAACTATTGAGATTTTTGTTCAGGTATCCACAAAATATTTACTATTTTTTGGCAACTTTCAGATAGCGACCCAATAGGAAATAAAAACATCACAAAGGGGGTCCAACTAGAAAGGTATAACTTGTAGTCACTCTCCAGCAAAACACAACATATATTTTTTTTAAAAAAAATTGGTAGTAAAAATATCTGTTAGTGCTTCAGCCAAAGTAGCATGCCCTAACAGATACTGATATAGAAATATCTTCAAATTATTGACACTGGGAAATGAATGTCAAACCCATAACTCTTGGAAAAATGTTAGAAATATTTTAATTACAAAGTTTGTATACGTTAAATTATAACATTTCATAAAACTATAGGTTTAAGTGTAGAATTTGGTCCACTGGATTGGGAACTGCGACTTGAAACTTTTGCTGTAGATAAAATCATCTAATTTCTTCTATTTCAATTTCTTACTTTAAGAAAATCTCCTTAAGACCTTTTTTCTGCAAGAACTTAAAAAAGTTGATGAAAAAATGGCCCCCAGTTGTAAAATTTTTCCCATTTATAAACTTTTTTATAATATATTTACTGTAGAAATTCATCTTAATTGCAATTGGTAAAATATTAGCCTTTTTATTTACGGTTTTTAAGTCAGTTATAATGCTTCTATTTGCATATTATTATTTGAATTGAATCCTCAAGCAATATTTTGATCCTTTTATTTTGAGAACGTGCTACGTAACGAGAAAAAATTATTAGGATCCGGTAAATGATGTAGATTTTCAAGTTTAAGCAGATTTTCAAAATGTTTAAGTAGATCTAAGTTTAAGTAGATTTTCAAAATTTTAGGGGGATGATTATCATAACTACGGCAAGGCCAAGTGCCGCCAATTTTTTGGCGACCTATTTGGATAGGTCGCCAAGGGGTAGGAGAAAAAAGAGAAACCCGATCATGACATCACGACGGAAAGGGGGAAGATGGGGGAAAGAAAAGGCGCTCTCTAAGAGGAGAGGACCAAAAAAGAACGGTGTTACCGTTGTGATATCAGGAACGGGGAGGAAATTGAAATAACAGGTACAGAAGATAGAAAAAAAATCGCGTGCAAAATGTAAACATAGTTCAAGAGTGAAAAATCTGGGTTTTAAAGAAACAAGGATAACGAAGTAGAAAATCAAAGATAAACATAAATAAACACTTACTTATGGAAACTCTATTCAAGTAGACTAATCCATTTTAAAATTGTTAAGTTTTAACTGTTAATTCGAAATGGAAAATTTGGCAAACGTAATAATT